AGATCGATATAGATCTATATATAGATATAGATCTATATATAGATAGAGATGGATATATATAGAGAGAGATAGAGATAGATAGATATAGATATAGATCTAAAGATGGATGTAGAGATAGATAGAGATAGATCTATATATAGATATAGAGCGATAGAGATAGATCTATATATAGAAAGATATAGAGATAGATGGATATAGATCTATATATCTATATATATATGTATATATATATATATATATATACATATATATATATAGAGAGAGAGATCGATATAGATCTATATATAGATATAGATCTATATATATATATAGATGAGTCATGGGTACATGTTGCTGGCATTAAAATTATTTCTAAGACAATAAAAGAGCATTAACAAATCTTTTTTGTAAATTAAATTACAACAAAGTTTCCTCTATAGATCATAATACTTATTATCAAAGACCAATCCTTAAATTATAATAGTTGTAAAACATTATCTGATAATATATTAATATAAAACTTTGTGTTCATCATGTTAATATTTAATTGTAAATATATATAAAACTTTATATATCTCATCCAGTTTGAGTTCAGTTTAAATAGTTTTTAATCTGAATAAATATGTATAATCTAACTGGAAGGTAATTTTAGAATTAGTTTTGGTCTTTTAGGGGGTTTTTGACATGGAAGAGATTATTTTAATATTATGATTGACTCGTCTTTTATGTTATTAAAATAAGATCTAAGGCACCTGCCTGAACTGTGGTCTGATACAAGATGGCTGCCCTCTAGGCACGTCCGCCAGCGTCCAATGAGGCGTCTACCTATATAATGGGCACAGCTAGCTTAAAACCGAGCTAATTACAACTACTGAATTGCTTATTTTCTACCCGATAATTTAACCTAAGTTTGGCCATGGACAATTTTTTTTTTGTTTTTTGTTAATTATTTATATTTTAAACACCATAAATATTGTTTTTTCATAAATTATGTTTCATGTCAATCAAATTTCAATCTTTTAAAACAATACGTCGTTCTACTCATTACTCACTACTAATTATTTTCAGATTTTAATTTTAATTTCCGCTATTTTAGGGGTCTAATGTGTTATTAATTGCAATTTATTTGCAGCCTAATTTGATTCATTTTTTTGTAGCAAACTTTATAGGCTAGTATTTTTTTACTTTAGGAAACGGCTCATTCATGTTTTTTTTCTTATTTTGAAGTAGCTAATTCTCTTAGACCTGTGGGAATGCATCTATCTGTGGATTTAACAAGCTCAATTTAATCAAATCAATATCTAAATACTATGTGAGCTGATCTGTCAGATAAATCCTGAACATGTTGAAACGTGACACCTGCAGGGGATTTACGGTCTCCGCTCTGAACGTGGAACATCCACGCTGATGTTTCTGTGTAATAATTGGACCAAATGCATCGCTTTCCTTTCCTGCAGAGTTCATGAGGAGTCCCTGCGTGGAAGCCGGCCTCATCCCCCCTCTGGTTCAGCTCCTAAACTCCACCGACCAGGAGGTTTTACTGCAAACCGGCCGAGCGCTCGGCAACATCTGTTATGACAGCCGTAAGTAGGAGCTAGATTTGCTTCGAAGGTGCCGAGTCAGGGGATTATTTTGTTTGGAAATCTCTTGCCAGAAGGCAGAAAAAGCTGGTTAACAATAAGCTTCAGATTGATTTTTGCTGAATGTTTTTAACTTTTTTTTTTTTTTTCCAATCACAGTAGAAATGGTTCTAAAAAAAACATAAAGATTAGATCTACATCAGCAGAGATTAATCCAACTAGAATGTGAACAGAGTCACGTGTTACAGCATTAAGCTGTGCACATTTAAATTCCAGTTCTTTTGACAATAATCTGATTGCTTTTAAAACCTGCAGCCGTCGGAGGAATTTCCTCCTGAGGTTGGTATTTATAGAGAGGCTGCGGGGACGTATGGCCAACTTTGATCTAGCTGCAGCGTTCTGATCACAGCTGTCAGATGATGAAGAGCCGGTCATCTGGAATCTGCTGGGATCTGCCATTTGCTCTTGCAGAGGGCTGGTTTTCTGGTGCGTGCCGAGAGAAGAAGCAGCTGCTCCCCGCTAGAAGGAAAAAGACGGTCTTTGGGTCTGTTTAGGACGGGACATTTAATGCGTTTAAGGCTGCTCTGGAAACCTCATAATCATGGAGGACAAATCCTGTTATTTTTAAGAATCAATCTAGAAAAATTACTGGTCTAATAATTGTGCTTCATAACTAAAATACATGGTTCCTGCGGGTCCTTAAAAAGTCTTAAAAGGCATTTAATACTTCAAAATAAAGGCCTTAATTGGTATTAAAATGTCTTAAATCAGTCTTTTATAGGTCTTAATTTTTAAAACAGCATAAATAGGATTATTTTTATTACGATTTATTTTTGTAATCTAAATAAAACGTTAAAATTGACAATTTCTTTGTTTTCATTTAAAAAAAATAACAACTCGCGATAATTGGTTCCGTCCCGATAGCGGAATCAATAAAAGTGTTGTTGCGGTTTTTGTCTGGTAAATATGAGCAAGTGTAAAAGTAACTAAAATTGTCTCCAGCCAAGAGTTTTCTCCATGGCTAAAACCAGGGAACATACATGAGGCTCAGTG